TCATTGCTTCATGTGACTTTGAAGTTGATTATCCGGTTTTTCCGATTATACGGTTTGATTTGATTCGGATAATCAATATTGTACAGTAATTTAAATGCTGCTAGTTTCCAATGAGTGCACATGGTGGTAACAGACCAGAACATACCGAGGCAATTGATTGATCGCCGAGTTATCTTCAAGTTGGATGCAAATTTCCGGCGAACAATGGCGATAATCAGTCTTTCATCGTAAAAATGTTGTTTTCGTTTGCGATGCATTTCTTAGAAGAAAGCGTAAAAGTCAACGGGCAATCTGTTATATCACTACCTAGTATAAAAGAATCGTCTCGCTGTATGCCTGTACCTATATTATATGCTTAGATCTTTAAAACTACGCAACAGATTTTCATGTACTCTTATTTAATAGATAGAGTGATTCAAGAGGAGGGTTTGTATGTATAGTTCATGTATAATATAGTAGAGAAACACTCATAAGTAATTTAGGGGTTTCTATGCGATGTCGAAAACAAACATTCAGCATTGCACCCATGCGAAACCGGGGCAGGTCGCTATTCTAATATATAAAATTCTTGTGTCACAGTTTTAGTGTTTATACTCCTCCGAAACGGCAAAAATTTTGTTACATAGATGTTACATAAAATTTGTTAAAATTGAAAACAAATTGTAACATAGAAGATTTGCGCGTGACATGTTTAACGCTTTCAATAAAGACTATATAAAGATTTATTCACAGCACGCAATATCTCAGAAACTTAATAGAGTAATAATGGAAGATTAATTAGTTAAACCCAACAATGTCACATACGGCCAAGTTCCAAACCCCTGGGTGTCGTGTACCGAACAACTTTAACGATGCGAGGCAAAGAACTTCTAAATTGAACATGTTACCTCAGTAAACACTGCATGGTTTTATCGCTACAAAATAACTGCAATAAATACATTTTAAACTATCAGTTTAACTCACTTTACCTGGTAGAAAATATTAAGTAAACAGTAAAAGGAGCCGTGATAGCTCAGTGTTCGGGCGCTCGCCTTTAATTCAATATACTCAAACAGCTTGAGGTCGAACCCCGGTACCGACATCAATGAATTTGCTAATTTTAAGTGCTGAGCACTTGATAATTCATCAAGTGCTCAGCGATGAAAAAAAATCGTGTGCATATTTTCAAAATGATAATAAAAAAATATTTCGAAGACATGTGAAGTCCGCCAATCCGCAGTGGGACCACGTGGTAGACTATATACCCTGTACAGAAGGCTTTTACCCAGCAGTGGGATACGTATAGGCTGATTCTTTACTCTATCTTTTTTCATACAGTAAAATCAAAAGGGGACAGATGGAGCCATAATTTAGGAAACAGTCCGTATTATACTAGGGTGTTCAGGATACAGTGGAATTCATCAAGTAAGTTGCTTTATAATAAATAGTAATAATGTACCTCCTAATGAGAATTTAAATATATTATTAATATTAAATGCAAGCAATAAAACAATTGAAGATCGTATAATTTAATAAATCACGTATCATTTATGTGGTTCAGTAAATGCCTAAACCACATTCATTTTAGCATAGTTGCATCGCTCGCTCCTTCATTGTATCTTCCCTTGCCTTGTTCCCATCCCAGTTAGAGTTATTTTCAGGATTAGTTTTATTAAGGATAACTGAATTGCATGCGATTATGTAGAATAATTGCGTTAATTTTAATATTGTACCTACCATCGGAATTTCATTTAGCATTAGTGTGACCCAAATTAGTCAAATTTAAAACATTTAATATGAAATCTTTGTAAAAGTAAGCATTACATTCAAATACTAAATTTACGGTGGTAGGGCCACGCAGCAGCTTCGGCTATTGCATGAATGGGCACGCCCGTCTGGGTAAGTACCACGACCTCACAGAAGACCAGCTAAAAGTGAAAGTATGACAAATACTTTCGCGTTTCGTCTGGTGAGTGAGGTAGCCAGAGCCCAATTTTCAAAAGGTTGTCAACGCATCTGTAACCCTTAGGTGTGGCAGATGTCCATGGGCGGCGGTATTCACTTAAAATCAGGTGAACCATCTGCTCGTTTGACAACTTTTGGCATAAAAAAAAATAATAATAAAGTAATCCATTAAAATAACACAGTCATCACTCTCACAAATTAGCAGGTAAGTCAAATTCGGATTAAATACTACTTTAAGTTAAAGCTGCAAATGAAGCCAGAACTAAATTCATTATGATTTTCACTATAGTATGTTTAAACTATACTAATTTATAATTATTAAATAATTATTATAATTACTAAAGTATTATTAGTATAATAGTAGAGTATTATTATATGTACACATAATAAGAATTATACTATTATACTATTTATAGTAAAGTATTATTATTCTTATTATGTCCTTCTTGTTTTACTTTAGTGCAAGTTTGTTCGGGTCCCTCAACTCAATATCTTACAATAACGTTAATACTAATAATGATATTATAATATTAATTATCTCTTATCTTCTCTTATAATCACATTTAATTGGATTTGTTTATTGTATTAAAATCAAAAATAACTCTCATTTTGCTGTTTTAGAACTTTTAAACGGATTATAATTATGATTATCATTGGCAAATATAACAATAGGAAATTGATATTAACTATTGTAACAGGCTTGATTGTAGTACTTTAGTCTAAGTTGATTGAAAAATTTAATACTTCGCTAACGGTGGTAGAGCCACGCAGCAGCCTCGGCTGTTACACGAATGGGCAGGCTCGTCCGGATAAGTACCACGACCTCACAGAAGACCGGCGTAAAGTGGAAGTATGACAAATACTTTCGCGTTTCGTCTGGTGAGTGAGGTAGCTGGAGCCCAATTTCCAAAAAAGTTGTCAACGTATCTGCAAACTCTAGAGTATAGCAGATGTCTATGGCGGCGGTATTACTTAACATCAGGTGAACCGTCTGCTCGTTTGGCAACTTTTCACATTAAAAAAAAACTGTTCTTACTACTTTTTGATTAAAAGTGACATAAAACGATAATAAATGAATGTGGCAAGTTGTCTTCCATTTGATGGTTTAAATTACCTCGTAATAAGATACAATCCGACAGAATGACGTAGAGAACGACTGTTATTAAATTAATAGCGTGAACAATCTCGCAGAAAAGCTATTCAGGCTTATGAGTTCTCAGATGAACACGTTTAATAATATTTTATTTGTTATACTTTCTGTTTGTAACATTTAAATAAAAAAAATGCTACATTTTATCTTTATTTTACTAGCATTTATCACTGTAAGGACACTTAATTTGTTATCAAACTTTTTAATAAAAAAATCTGTAATAATAAAGAATCCAAAATTCAATGAATTCGACAAATTTTAAATTCTGCATTTAAATAATTCAAAATTTTAAGCCAGCAATTGCCTTGTATATATGTAATAATTGCATGGGTTGGATTACCGTTGAACATAGGTCATTCCTTGCGAAAAAAGGGGAGGATAAATGTCAATTTTCTTTAATAAAACAATTTATTGTTATGATCCAGCAAGTACCGACCATCTCCATTCATTGTTTCACTCAAGTTTGCTCAACCGCTATGACGTGAAGAGATAATGTTATATAGGCTGTTTTAATAATGCCAAGATATTGTGCTAAAGATAGACATGACTTTTCGACACAAAGAAATAATAATGGCAGTCTCATATATGAGGTTAAAGCCTCATGCATATATTTTGGATAATATTAGACTCAAAACTTGTCTAGAATATGAAGAGTAAGCATATTTAAGTACCTAAATCAGAAAAAATTAAGAACAAAATAAATTAAACTATATTTACGGATTTATCAAAAAATTATTACGGAAGAACAAATATAAAGTAGTCCCTGTTTATATCACTTCTTGTATTTGTTTTTTTCTCGTGGCTTTATTCTACTTAGGTGGCACCGATACAATATATGTATCGTGATGGCCAGTTTTTTACGGACAGCAACATACCTGGATTACACAAACACTTGTCACGTACTTAAGAATCTGTAACCGCAGAATAGTGAAATAAATTTCTTAATTAATTAAAATATATTTCTTTTGTATATAAAAATTCAGTATTTTCTATCAGTAGAAGAGAGATGAAGCGAACTTATCAAACTATTAGAGCTTGATTTATTGCAGTTTCTCTTTTGTTCTTCTAGCTGACGTAGCTTACCTTTATTACTGTTTACTTCGTTAACAGCTCGTCCGCTAGTTCCGTAATTAATCACAGTAAATAGCTGCAAAAGTTTCTAAAGGAACACTTTCCCGATAATTTTTTTCTTTCAAAATAGTATACGTCGATTACAAAAAACGCGTTATTGACTTTGTAAATTGACCAAGTACTTGCAAAAATCGCATCGTCGCTCCACAGAAAAGCTTTGAGTGAATCATATTATTATTAAATATTTGCTTCACTTTTTGTTAATATTTGTCACTAAACAACTTGAACAATGTAATTTAGAGGAACCTAATTACGAAAAGGTGGTAGATTTAAAAAATGTCTATCAATAGACAACATGTGTATTTCTTATTTCGATGAATTGAAATTGAGTTTTATTTGATTTGTTTCATAGTCTGTCTAACAGCTAAAACATTTTTGACCATCGACTTTAGAGAAATAGAATCCCACAGTATTATAAAGAATCAAAATGTATTTTTTTATTAGTTGTCAAGGTTAATAGTTGATGATGGCTTCTGCTCATAGTTTTTCTGATGGTTGTGAACGGCACCACCATTTACACTTAGGGTAAAGGTTGGCTTTATGGTGATAATAAGAAAAAAACTTAAAATTTTATTTCAAAATTAACATTTATTAGAAAACCTCTTTACTTATTACAATAATCAGACTTTTCTTTTCAATAATTATTAATCACAGCAACTTAAATTCTTAAACATTAATAGGAAAATCAGATCAAACAAATCTTTTTGGTGTTGGCAATATGGAGATACGGGGGCAATTTGGTGATACCATATGTGGCAATATGGTGACAAGTCTATTCAGGTGCCCAATCACTGTCATCAGTGCCTGAAAAGTCTACTTTATCACAATTATCACACAGGAACTGTGGCGACTCTGTGCCAGTACATTCTTGGTGGTACCATTTGCCGCAGCTCATGCACTCTACCCATACAGCTCCGTTCCTAAGTGCCACATCTTGGGAGTAGTGAACACCGCAATAGTCACACATCGTACTTTTATTTGATTTTGGTGCTTTCTCTACCTTAACTCTTGGTAGTTTACGCTTCAGGTTGCTTTCATTTGAAGGGCCAGGAGTTGGAGAAGCAGAGGGGACACGAATCGAGGTAACGGTCTCCTCACTGGTAACGGCGACTGTGGTTTCGTTTGATATGGCGACGATGTTTTCTTCAGGACTGTCCATGTTGTTCGTGCTTTGAGGTGTTAAATATCGGGCCTGTGGATTCCGCTTAGCTCGTCGGATACTAGAAGAAGAAGACTGTGGTACCTCAGGAACGGAAAGTAAAGAGAAAACTGAAGGTGACGCAGTTTCACGATTGACAGCAGAAGCTTGGGCATTATCAGTGGAAGATTCAATATTCTGTGACTGTAGGTCACTTGGCTGCATCAATGATGGGGCAATACTTTCATCAGAAATGGCATTTCGATCAAATGGCGCAATGCCAGTTTTTTCGAAAGCCGTTCATAATTATTGACGGCTGAAATACATGCTCGTAGGCTGGTGTTAATAGGCGACAAAAGTCAAGCCTTGTTGGAGCACTCGTTGGATGTTGAAGCTTATAATTATTTAGCACTTTAAACAGAAACGTTCAGAGGTTGCAGGAGATGGCTTGTGTGACTTAGAAAAGTGAATAGATGAATGCCATTTTTTTTAGCGAAATCTATAACATCTTGGCTGACATGGGTAGAGTGAGAATCCATGATTAAAAGTACCGGTCTAGCTGGTGGAATATGAGCTTCAAAATGATGCATCCACTCCAGAAATAGTTCAGAGTTAATCCATCCGTTTTTGGATAATCTCACGATAGACCCTTCCGGAGCACCATTCGCTAGATCATTGACCATTCGGACACCTTTAAAAATGATCAAGGGGGGTACAGACGCTCCGCTCGCACTACAGCACCCAAGCACCGTTTGTGTGACACCTTTCTCTGCAAAAGTTCTACTGTAAATTACCTTCTTTCCAGTTTGAGTGACAATTTTTGACGGTTTTACGACGAACGTTACACCGGTTTCGTCGCAGTTATAAATCCTTTCAGGCTTTTGCAGAATATCCAGCTCAATAACGACGTCCAGTAGCTTTTTATAAAAATCGTCAATGTTTTGTCTGTTAGCAGTAACAGCTCGGCATGCTGCAAGCTTTTCTGGCGTGCGCAATGAAAGCCCGTACCGTTCTTTAAACGACCACCACCAATAAGGCCCAGCTTTATGTTTAGCATCGTTAAACTGGTGATCTTTTCCTGCTTGGACTGCTAAAGCGTAACATTTAGCTTTGATGTCTGTGACGCTGAGACCAAATCCTAGTTCTTGCATTTTAATTATGTAGGAAACAAACTTACATTCAAGGTCGCTGTCTAATGTAAATGGTCTCCCAAGTTTAGGTAAGTCGAAACTCACCTCCATGAGTAGCTACGTGTCTTCTCAAAGTAGACCACGGTATGCCATATTCCTTCGACGCCTTGTACACTGACCAATTATCCTTTATAACTTTCATATAAGCCTCCTTGAAGCGTGAAGAGTCATAATTTCTGCGTTTCTCGCCCTTCATTTTCCTTTTATTTGCCTTTCCGGACTTGTTCCTGTAAGAAAAATCATCCAATACGTAAGACTATAACCCGGACTAATGAAACACAACCCGATATTTTTTTTAACAGAAAGATACAACATTTCGAGCTTCATCTACCCTGAAAACCCCATTCAAATTAAGCTTGAAATAAAATAAAAATAAGCTATGTAATGTTTTTGGTAATTTGGTGATATTTACATCCTCCATTGTTTCGCATATTTTGGCGCGAAACAAATAAACCGCGTCCGGTGAGGACAGCGACCAGCGGCCAAATGAAAGAGAGATGAACATACTCGCCTTCAGTTTGTAACTCGCACCCCCCCTTTATTGTGTATATATAATTATAACTTATATATTTTTTCCCCCATTATAAGAATAAATCATATAACATCATTACGTGACCAGGATAAATTATTGATCTTTCTATAGGATCTTTCTAAAGGTAATAATTAGCCGTATGAAATATTATTGTGATCGTCATGTTCGGTAGGACCTCATTTACGTTGTGTTTATTTAGTAACTTGATTCTTTTAGGTGTATCTTGGATAGATAATTATTCACTAGTCGTGGTATAAGCCAGAGATAATGCTAGATTGCTTTCTTATTAACTAATCCCGACTCGCTTGAGACGGGCTCAGAGTATATAGTATACTCCCTCTCATGCTTGTAAAGGGCTCACAATATATTTTTAAAATAATATCCCTTCTCTCTTGAAAAGGGCTCACATCAATTTTACATACCCGATACAAGTCAACAGCTCCCCCACATTTTAAAAAAATGTAGGGAAGGCACACGGCTCCATGAAAACACTCACCAACGCCGTGTGCGGTGAGCGCCAACCAACATATTGCCCAGAAGAGGGAAAGGACCGAAGTCCATTGCAAAGCTGTTTTACCAGCATAAAGAGGGCTTGGCCCCTTGGCAGTGCGTAAGCACAAACTTTGACCGAAGTCGCGCATGTCAATGCGTGTAAACGTCATACAAGCCGACGACAAATCCAGTCTTTGTGAATGTACGTCAATACGGTTTTGGGCATGTGTTAAAGATCAGGCACTCTGGCCCTATGATGTAATAAGCCCTCCGTAAGCGCCACCACTTTTGCCAGATCGCCGCGACTGCAGACGTGATTGTTAGTGTTTTGGCATCACCACCATTAAAAAGGTTAGCACGACATTTCGTCGCAGAGCGCGTTATGAGTCACTGCTCACCCCAAGGGTATGGTTAAAACGTTGCACGGCATCGCCGCAGCCTTGAGAGGTTTTCTCCCGCCAGCTACCATCCACATGAGGTAAACGCATATGCTCCACCAACCATTGAAATAGTCAGATATAGCCATAGTTGTGATTTTTATGTTTAGCCATCAGAAGGGTTTATAATTGGCAACATATATTTATTTGTCAGTGTCTCTGACGTTGAGTATAATGTATTTTCGATCAAGCTTGTCTCACCCACCAGCAAGTTGCCATTATTCGTTCGAACGGTGGGAACTTTACTGAGATTCGTTAATAATGATAAAACGTATAAGAGGTCAGACAGTCTGCAGTTCCGTCATCAGGAACCCGACTTGGACAAATCTACTGAGATGTGCATCAAACCGAGACGCAGACTCGGCCATTATGAATAGCGTCGTCTCCCAAGCAAATGTCGCAAGACGCAGTGTCACTAAATGGAACATGCATCAATACAACTATCGAAGGTCAACACGCCATCATACAGCCTATCCGCATACACAGCAGACATCATCACCTCGAACCTCCGTCAACCAGAATCATACGATGCAATGATATTAGGCGCAGATCACCCCGCAAATACCACAAGACGCATTACTGCATATAGCCGCACGCATCAATGTGACTATCGCGTAGGTGGCACACCCTCACACCACACCAATATAACTCCGATCAACTTCGGCTCCAAAGTTTAGAATATACTCGGAACACACGGAGTGTCCAAACATACTCTTTCACGATCCGAATGATAGTCGACGTATCATAGCGTAAACACTAAGACGCCAACCACCAACGGACCCCCACCCCAGTCAAGTAATAGCCAACGTATCATAGTGGAATACACTAAGACGCAAGCCACCACCAGACTCCCCAAAGTCGGATGATCAGTCGACGTATCATAGTGCAACACACTAAGACGCCAACTACCACCAAACTCTTACTATGCCGAATGACAGCCAACGTATCATAGTGATGGTCACTAAGACGCCAACTACCACCAGCTTTCGATAATATGTCCACCACTGAAGACATATCCATTCATGGTTCCACGTTCACCGTAGACCATATCGTCGTACAGAAGTACCACGCAACTCCATAGTAATATCTCTTATAAAGTCCCAAGTCATTCATTGCTCTTCATTATATTTATTATTTTTTTCTCTGAGCCTTCACATATTATTACTTTTATCCATTAGACCTTACTTCCATATGATATTGGTATGGGACGTTCATACAATGTACTTTGACTATAGTACTAAGAGTCGCGATCGACCTCTGTACTTACATATGTGCGGTCATACAAATGTGTCCCCGCACGGTACATAATACTTCCCTTAGAAATCACTAAGTATGGAATTGTATTTAATGGACATACTAGTGATCGTATCTTGCTATATTTTTAATAAATATCCTTTTTTGAGTATTTTAAGTGATTTTTAACTATTTTTAATAAATTTTTGGTAATATCATTTTCTCATACTAACACTTATATTTCTTTAATTTAAGTATATATTATTAACTTTTATTGTGATTAAACGTTCTTAAACGTTTTATTTTCATCTTAATTGATCTTTATTATGACTAATTAATAATAATATTTATTATTATTAATAGGTCGTTACAAGTTCATTGAATGAACGCAAAACTGTCGTTGGGCATTATAAAGACCGTTGAAAGCAAAATTATCACCATATTGCTATATATCACCATTTAGCCAACCTTTACCCTATAGCATCGGTAATTTTTCATGAATGTTACTACCCACTGAGACAGATCATCGTCGATTCGGACTACGGAAATGAAAGGATCGCGAACAATGGAAATTTTATTAACAATGGAAAAGTAAAAGTTTTGCTGGGTTCACATATTAATGAACGAATTTATACATATAATTTTGGAACGTACCTGCTTAAATAGTAAATAAAAATACTAGTGCGCTATAAAATTAAGATTTTTGTCGGTGTGGCAATCAGCCGTTTAGTTTAGTGGCTAAAGCGTAAGGCCGCGAATGCCGAAGACGGAAGTTCGATTCCCACAGCGGCGACAATCTTTTCATACGTTTTCTACAAGTTTTAAATACTAGTTATAACATTTATAAATATTGAGTAATTACATAATATATTGTAATATATAAAGACTATGTCTGACACTGTTCAATATCAATTCAATTTGATATCTGGAATTGATATCAAGGGGCGTAATATTTAAATCTTATCACGTTTTATACGATATTCGATTCTATTGAATAGAAGCATAATAATCCTCGGAATTCGTTTATGCGAGTTCCTCTCTCGGTGGAACGATTATCAGTCACCTGCAATTCAGACATTTTTTGTATAGGTTTCGGAATTCAAGGGGCCCTTTGTACGTAAGTGCTTATTGTGTGCTCAAATAAAAACCGGACGACACACGCGGTCTGCTGTCGTGTGATATCCTTTCATATTTTTTATGAAACCACTTTGAAAATGCTTCTTATGTAATGAAATTTAAATTAATTGCTTAAGAATTAAAATTTTGTACAGATATTCAAGATCACATGTTACCCTATTGCGATAAGGCTAACAAATTTTCTGTTCAATATTAGCTATTATACAAATATTAACGTACAACTTCACTGTACTGATGGTTTAATTAATTATTAAAACTTTTTTTGAGCATTATTGAAATTAAGTTACTTTTCAAACAATATGTTTTTCTTTTCAAAGTGTTTTAATTAGACATGAAGGATGCCAAACTAAAAGCATGGATAAAACCATTTTAACAAACATCATTAAATAAAAATTTAAATAAAGTTATTTTATAACCATTATATATATACAGCGTGTCGTTAAAACCGCGACAATAAATGAACACACGTCTAATGCTACTTGCCAATAATCATAAAAATATATTAACGTTAAAAATTCCATAATTAAAAAAAATATTTTTAAAAAAAACTAATTAAGGAAAAAAAGAAACAAAATTTGTAACATCCTATACAACTAAAACAGACTGATTCATACATTCAGAGACTTTTTCATTCATTGGCATCGCATTACAAGCCTCTCCTTCTAACAGTATGTTTTGTCTCTTTTAAATTCATTCAACCCATTCATATTATTTGTGACAAATGAACTTTACGTTACAGTACATACATAAGGTGTTCTAAAATAATATATAATATAATTGTTTGTTTTGGAAAATTTAATAACTCGGTAAATATTGATGTTTAAAGAATGTAAATGTTCAATACAATTTTAAAAAGTTATCCTCTATATGTGTGTTCATTTATTGTCGCGATTGTAAAGACACGCTGTATAATTGTAACAAGCAATAAAATAGTTGAAACTTTGGGGATTTAAGTATAAAATAAAATGAATATCCCAAATAGGATAATATAGAGCGGGCATTCGTAGAAAATATGTACAGTAAAAAAAGTTAACACGTAAACTGAATCTATATAATCATCAATTTGACATTTCTTACACTGAAATGAAGAAAAAGAATGTAGATAAATGAACAAAAACATTCGGCGGTATGGGATTTGAACCTACCGACTTTTTTGAATTTGCGGTTTACAAAAAATTTTCAAAATCTTCTATAGTAATAAATGGAGAGACGGTTTTTTGTTCGGTTATTCAACGAAAAATATTGAACCGATCGGAATAATACTTATACCATAACATGCAGCGTGTGTTTCGGAGAAGGTTCAAGTATATACTATTCCGGAACCTATATTTTGTGACTCAAAAATGGTATGACTTAGCAAAGCGG